TGAGTGGGTGGGGTCTGTTCCAACTTTCCTCCTCCTTTTATGGCCCTCAGAGGGCAGTCCAGCAACTGAATTGAATACACCTCTCTCTGGTTCTCCCCCGCTCGAGCCGGCCGCCGCCCGTTCAGGCGTTGGATTCTTTAGCGCTTTATAACTCCGGTCGAGTCTGGAAATTGACTAAATGCTGATCAATCGTATCAAACGAAGGTGGTTCCCCGAGTTTTCGGAGACCGAGCACGGAATTTGGACCTGGCAGCCTGCCTGCGCAGGTGTCAAGAACGAGAGTTGTGTCTGCTTGTTCAAGGTGTCAGTGGCACGATTTGTGGAGGTGGTAATTCACGCTGTCAGGATACTTACACCAAGCACCCTGTCTGAGATGCGTTGCATGCGCTGCTGAACTCGAGATCTAGCGTCTGGAGTCTAGAGTCTTGACTTCGCTTGGGGTGCAAGTACTTGAGTTTCTACACCATCACGTGCACGATCCCGAAGACTGTTTGTATTCGTTTTAGAGAGGTGTGAGTACATGCATACATGTACACAATATTGAACCTGTTATCAACATTGAACCTATCATAGACATGAGCGATGCCCCCGTGCGATCCGGGGAGGGATGAATCTGCGCATCTTCCCGCCTTGCTCCATCGCCCGAGGAGCAGTGCGCGTCATACCCTCTACCGCTCATCTAGGGCTGGTCATTGTCGGTGCTGACTTGCTCGCCCAGAAATGCATGAGCAACTCATAGTCCGTCCTGACCCGCTTCCGTTTCGGCACGCCCTTCATCCACTGTGTCGACTTCCACAGCGCGTGCCGGATATCGCGACACAATTCCGTCCAGGTACGAGCGAAGGAAACTGAACTGTCTCTACCAGCGGGTATTTCGGTTCCGATGCAGGGAGGAATGGGGCCCATGGGGAATTGAGGCTATCACTCCATTCTTGGCCAAAGCTGGATTCCAAGTATTCCGGGAAGCCTGACCAACTACTATGTGTCAGATCCGATTGTGCGAATCACGTGAAACATACGAGAGAGAAGTTAAGGAAGTTGCAACGTTAACGCGGGTTACTCGAAATCCGCCGGTACGAGGACATTACAGATACATAGCGGCTTCCTCGTAACTCACCCACCATGAGTTGTGTTTGATGAAGTCGAAAAGACCCAGGCGGTAGTTAGATGGAAGCCGCGGGGGCACACACACCATTTCGAGGATAAAGAACAGGGTGTGCGAGACGTACCTTGTACGTGGTCGATTGGGTCCTGCAGAGAGGAGGTTCCTGGGACGGCGGAGCTAGTCGCAGTAAAAAAAGCTCCGCGTTTTACACAGAATATGACGTTCAGCAGCGCAGACGTAAGAGCGAAAGATCTGCGGTAGATGAGACCCAGATAAGCCATGGAAGTAGGTCAGCCTCTTGGTCGCGAGATGAGATCCAATTGCTTGCGCCGCCGGGACGGGAACGCTGTAAGTCCTGCTTCTTGCCGAATATGAGGCCAATCTAGCCGAGGCAGCATATGAGGTTGAATGTGTCCATGTAAAGTGATCTGCAATCACCTTGCCTGAAGTTTATAGATAGTCCAGTTGCAGTTGATCATGATAACGGTAAACCAAGTGGTGCCGATGACTGTCAAGCATGAAGCATTATTTCTGAGGCCTCGAGACTTCATCGGAAGCCACCCTGGATGAATCGATATCGAAGCATGCCAGCGCCGATCTGTTACACCAGACTCTGCACAGCCTGCCACGGCTACTAATATAAGTCAAGCAAGCTTTCATGCAGATGAATTCAAGCTCACAAGTACTTCTGTTGATCTATCGAGTGCGCGAGACCAAGGTAACGCTATCCAGTATCCACGAGGGCGCACAGATGAGCATATTTTGAGATCGAATAGGCGTTGAAGGGGCTGCTCGTCGCTGTTACGGAGCCATTAGCCCGCATCGACTTGAACCTGCAAGATCAGCGATCAACTTGACGTACTGTGGATGGGCCGATGGCACGGCAACGGGTGTGACAGACCTCGAGGCATGCAGCCTCCCGGGCCAAAGCCCGCCAGAAACTGTTGCGCAGTGATGGTGGCCAGAGTCAATTGGCCGTGCTTGTTGTGCTTGATGCGGTGCTTGATGGAACCGTCCAAGTTGTGGGTCCATTTGTGTGCTCGCTTAGGTAAGCTTGGAGGCGCAGTACCCGGCATGTCAGCTTCAAGTTGTGGCACGGCCTCTCTCTCCTGTTCCCCAACCATCACTCGTACCCAACGACACCGATACACTCACACAACATCGACATGGCAGAAATCAAGGCATGTACTACTTGACCTCTACTGCATTCCATACTGATAGTGTGCTCAGGGCCCAGCGATCGCCTCGAACAAGCTGGCCATGTCCCGCGCCCTTGGCGCTGCATTCCTGAACCACCAAGTTGAGCAGCTCGAGAAGACAGTCACAAACTCAGGTCCTGGAAATGGCAACTGGCGCGAGCGCAGACTTGCTCCCGCTCACAACCATAACGGCAGTCCCGAATTCAAACGGGCTCGAGCGGCACCGGCCAAGGGGGCCAAACGCCGAGACGCTGATGGCTCCGACTATAACGGTGGCGAGGAGAAGATAAGGCGAAGAGACGATTACAGGGTGCAAAAGGATGCGGACATAGTGGTCGTAGACGCAAGCGTGCTGGTGCATGCCCTCCCTCAGGTCAAGAAGTGGTGCCGCGATGGCCGAGAGGAGGTCCTCATCGTACCACTGGAAGGTGTGTCTTATTTCTGCTTGATTCCATATACTGTGAGCATTGCTGACATGTCCACAGCGCTCAATACGCTTGATCTCCTCAAGAAGGGCACCAGCACACTTGCGCAGCGAGCCCGCGCGGCGTCCCGCATCCTCGAGGCGCAAGTGGGCACCAATCCCCGCATCCGCGTTCAGAGAGACGACGCATTTGTGCTGTGGGACAGCATCTTCCAGGATCTGGCCCCGGGTGTGAACCCGGGCGGCTCTCCGGAGTGGGTCCGAAGAATCATTTGCTGCGCGCGCTGGGAAGTTGAGCACGCAGGAGAAGGGGACGGGAATTCCAGCGACAAGTCCGATGCAGACGAAGAAAAGAAGCCTCGAGTGGTACTCGCGGTCCTCTCGCAGTCTTCTGAGGTGCAATCAGAGGCGATTGGTATGCCTACCTCAACCGCCCCCTCCCCCGTCCCCCTCCCTGCTCCGCAGACCAATAGGCACGAGCCGCGTTCATCCGGTGCCCTCGTCACTTCCTGGGCGAACAAGGCCAGACTCGATTTGTTCGAAGTCAAACCCAGTGCCGCTACGGGTCCGGCTGCTGCACCGAACGGTGCTCCTACCTCTCAGGATGCATCCTTTAGTGACCGGCGCTCCGCAGAACCTACACGCCGCTCTGCGGAAGAAGAGCGGAGCAAGCGGGGGTTGGCGCCAGGGAGTGGCGTGCGCGGTCGGCGCAACTCTCACCTGCGGGCTGGCAATGAGCGTGCCGCGCCTATATCAGGAGCACGCCCGGGCTCGAGCTCAGGGCTCGTGGAGCGCCCGCCCGCAGTGATGGCCATGATGGAGATGGTCTCACAGCCCAGTCGCGTCGTACGTGTGCTTGCGCGAGGCGAGAAGCTGGACCCCGACTCGTAGGGTAATACGCTATGCACATACATAGCCATCATTCACCGTGAGCATACTCCGTTTCTTGCCATACTGTCCTTCTGACAATTTCTCGCAGCAAACCGCAACAGAACCGCCTTGACGTACGGTATAGAGGGTCCGCCCTCGTCACCCGGATGCGCAGACGGCCCAGTTCGGACGAGTACACTGCTCCTACCTGGCATTCATGTCTTGACCTCGATCCGATCTGATGGGAAGACGACGACTCGTTATGGACACCAACTATCTCGTTAGGATGTCCAATGGCTCTATGGCTCCAATCGCTGGTACGGAAACTGGATTCCTGACAGTATGAAGACTGGTGGCCTGATAGCCTTTCTTTTTCTATGCAACTTCCTAGTCATGTCGGCTCGAGGCGATTGACAGGGTTTTTTGAACTTACATGCGATTTCCTCATCACCATATTTCCTTACTCCCTTGTACATGGTTCTATGTTTTGATTATGTTACGGTTTATCAGAATATACAGAACTACAGCCCAACTATGGCCTCATGGCAGCACTTGGTCGTGACGAGTTGTCTGCGAACAACATGAGTACACCGATGTGATATAGACGTATAACTTTTTGACCATCTAATGTCGGCTATAGCTGTATCATCCTGCTTTTCCTGAAGTTTGTGTTTGCAGTTTCGCTTGCATTACGTTCATCAGGTAATTCAGGTTGTCCTGTTTCTTTTGTATCGTGTCCTGCAGCGTATCAAGATTTGTGCGAATGTAGTCGACCTTCGATTCGTAGTGCTTCAGTGCCTGTGCGCGGGACTGGGGATAGTCGCCTCGCTCAGTAACGTCCACCAACCTCGTTGGATATTGGCGACCTGCCTTCTTCACATAGTAGCCTGTCCCGATGTCCACGATGACATTCTCGACGTCATGCAGCTTGCCGGGGACGTACAACGAGTTTGTGAGCGGGACGAGCACCGTTTTGCCTGTGCAACAATACCGAGTGAGACATCTGCAGCTCGAGATGCCAACGAGTACACACTCTTGTTATCCGGCCTGACCTGCCTGACGTTCTCGATGCATGCCTTGAACTTGGCCTGAGCCTGCCTCAGCTGCGTGAACGAATTCGACAGGTGGCCCAGTTCCTAGATGATGTTCGGTGAGCAGCACGAAACTTGGTGCATGGCGTAGAACGTACCTCCTCCAACTGTCTGCGTACGTCCGCAAGCTGAGGGAGGTCTAAATCGGTCACATTGATTTGCTGTGTGGCTTGAGAGGTCAAACTCGACGCCATGGATGCTAGGACGAGCAATTGGCCAAGTGCATTCAAGTTGTACACGGGAGAATCGAGAAATCGATGCCAGTCAATGTTTGTGACCATCTGGGAACTCTCAGTGCCAACTCCACCAAGTCCGATATGGTGTAACGGCTAACATTGCCGCCTTTCATCGGAACGAGCAAAGAAAGGTTGCGCGGCAGCTCGGGGTTCGACTCCCCGTATCGGAGTCTACTACATGTTTATTTTGGCTGGTTCTTCTTTCCCCGGACTATCCTCCTGTAATTACCTTCGTTCCTGTCATATCCAACCAAACATTTTTTTTTGGAGGAGCTTAAACTCACGTCGCAACTAACTTGGTTAGCCCGGCGGAGTATGCTATCTAAGCAGGGATTGCACCTGCTGCCGCCAAAGAGGAAAAAATCTACCTTATGCACGCCTATTGAGAGAGTGGGCAGATATCCAACCAAACATGGAACGTAGTATGTACGTATGTGCAAATTACGAAGGGCTAGCCAAAATCATCAACCAAAGCCAAGAACAAGTCCAACTAAATCTCGCCAACTGCGCCGGACAATAACCCGGAAACCACCGCTGTACTCCTCACCAAGCCATTCAACAAACCGAGCATCGATGACACTGAATGGACCGAGGTCGAATGTTGTCACGTCCTTCGGTGTCAGGACGACCGTATTTCCGCCATCTCCAAGCTCCGCCTGCATGGGCTGCGGCAGGAAGTTGGCCAGCCGTGCGAGCACCATGGAGGTGTGAGTGCGGAATGTCTGGAGAAGTGCAAGAGTGGTGAGAACCCTGCGGTCGCGTCGTGCAGTTTCGTCGTCGTCCACCTGTTCGAGGACAGCGATGTCCGCCGAATACGGAGTGGAGCCAATGCTGGCGCTGGCCCCAGAGGTATGCGCGGCCTGTCCATCGCCCTTCGTACTCGACCATGTCCAAATTGACATGGCGCTCGAGCGTCGCATCCCGCGCAACGTCCGCCCGGTCGAGGATCCCACCTCACCCACAGGCCGTCCCTCGATCCCTAATCCGACAGTGCGGACATACGAGAATGAGCCCTTGCTCAGCGCCACGTCGTCGTCATTTCCCTCGAGCCGGATGCTGCCCCAGTTCTCCACGCGTGGATTTGAGATAGAATGCGCGCGCCAAGAGCCCATCCATAATCCGGCGCAGATCACACAGACGTCTTCGTAGACACGCCAGACGTCTGTCCACGCCGAACTCACGCTGGTACGAGGCTTCCCGGTAGAGGTGGAGGGGTCGCAGCAGCTGTCTGGGTGGTCGCCTGTGTCCAGCTGCAATAGCCGATCCAGTTCTGTCCACTGAGGGCGTTGTCAGCAATACTTCGAAAGAACGCATTCCAAGCAGACTGACCAGCTTGACATCGCTCCATGTAAACCGCACCGCTGACAGGCGGTACGAAGGGCCCCGTCCGTTCGGATGCTCCGACGACTTCGACACACAGAACGCGGGGCGCGTGTTGGGTGTAGATGTCCGCAAGTCGATGATAAGGTCGTAGCATGAGGGCTTTTCGAGGAAAATCGCGTCCGTGGTGCAAGCAATCCACCCGCGCCCCGTCTTGCTCTCCATCTCCAACTTGTCGAGGTCAGTAAGCGTGACCATCCCGAGCACCTTGATGCTCTCCCTGCTCTTGCCTTTGAGCTTCCTCGGCGAGCCGTCGCCATCGTCATCTGGTGAGTTCGCACCGGTCGCGGCTTGGTCTTCGTAGCAGATGTCCGCAGCAACCTGGCACAGGATGCACGCAGCTTCGACGGGGGGGAGGGTGTAAATGAGGATCCGTCGGCGGCCAAGGATATGCTTGTAGAGTGTCAGGCATGATGGCCCAAGTATGCGCAGCACATGCGACAGGTGGATCGCCGGGTTCGAATCCGCAGCACGGCCTTCCAGTTCCGCGTCCCAGCCCCTCCAGTCTCCCGCACCTCCCAGGTCTGCGCGGCGGACCTTGCGTTCCTCGAAGAATGCCCGTGCAGGCTCCCAGTCGTCGTCTAGAGGCACGAGGGTGTCTCTGTCTTCGACAGAGGAGTATATGGAATGTACGAGCGCCTTGAGTGCGGGAACATGTCTCCAGGGACGTGGCCGTGGGGATTTCGCGAGCAAGATGCCTACTGAGGAGAGGCGGAAACCGCGATGGCCTTGTTCTCTCGTTTTGCGCCGGTGGAAAACGCACACACCGGAGTACTCATCTTTCGTGAAGTAGCTGCGGCCCGACCAGCGTAAAAACCCGACCGCATCACCATCAAATGCGCACTCACACCACGTCTCGATCCACAAGGTGCAAGCCGCTAGGAAGGCAGCTGAACTCGACATGTGTGAGGTCTAGGTCTGCAGGACGGTGTCAGCGCAGAATTTTGCAACGTAGGCACTCACCCACCATCGCTGGCTTTCAACGCCCAGTCAATCACATTTCCTTGCGTAGGATGGAATGCTGCATGAAAAATGGCGACTGCAGACATGTGAATAAGCTTGTCTCTATCGTAGCACCTCCATGCTGCGCACCTACGTCCTGCGGTACTTTCTCCGTAGGGTCCCCTGACTGCATAAGAGGTTCGGGATGCCCGGGAGGTCGATGTGCACTGGAGGTTGTGCAGAAAGTGGGAAACCCGCTACCGCGAGGCTGACCTCTATCGGCTAGGCTGAAGAGTAGATCTTGATGGAGGGCTTGATGGAGGCCTTCGCGACGCTACCTGTTGCTACCGAGACGGTGTGACGACCTCTTGCCCCGTCAATATGCAGGATATGAATGGAGGCAGAAAGCCTCGTTGGCAAGTGACGAGGGCTGAGCGTACGCTGGGTAGTGAGATAAAAGCCCACAAGGACGAAGTGACACGCAAGATCAAATCGGGAGGGCATCGCGTAAGTATGCAACATCTTATCTTACCGCAGAGTATCATTAATCCGTTACATATAAAACATCACTTCTCTGTCTGAAATGCACTCATCCCAAGCATCAGCAAAAGTTAAATCCTCTACAAATAAGGTAGAACAGATGCATACACCGAGAGTCGAACTCGGAGCTAGGCCATGTAAAGAGGCAGCGAAGCCACTTGGGAAGACCCAATGTTACCGCTACACCATGTATGCGTTAGTTAAAATAAATAACTAATTGTTATCACCACGCGTCGTGTGAATTGGATCAATGAGTCACGTGTATTGCCCTTTCAGCAGGCTGTTGTCCAAATTCAAAGTTGGCACTGCTCACCGAGGCCACAAAGGCCACAGACTGGTTTGCTACACACTAGCTCGGCTCTCCCCTCAACATCATCGTTGAGTGATTTACCTCCTCAGGCGCGCCTTCAAACTATCCCCTGCGTCCATCTCCTCCATCCCGACACCCAACACGCGCTATACATTCGCCGAATTGCACCTGAAGCCAACATTACAGTAAAAGTATCTTCAGGTCTCTATCATGATGGAAACATCCTCGCATTCTCGTGGGCGTGGACTGCGCGTTCAAGGCGCAGCCGCTGGAGGGCGTAGTCATTCCAGAAACAGGAAGTGGGTTGCGGGCCACGACGGTGGCGTCAGTGGTGGACACAGCGTCGAAGGGGAGCGAGGAGCTCACCGGAAACCACGCGGCGGAAGAGGTCATCACCAGGGATCCGCTTCTGCTTTCCTGACTGTACCGGACGCGCACGACATGGACGATCCAGCAAGTGGTACCGACGATGAACACGGTGGCGAGCAGGTATATGACGATGAGGACGTGACATTGGATGTCGAACCGGAAACACCGGAAGCGAGGGAGAAGTTCTACCAAGAGGTGCGTCGTAAAAATTGATACACAACATAGAGCAGCTTACGGGTGCCCAGTTGGTGAAGGCTCGGGAAGTAGAGCGCAAGAGGGCCATTGCCGAAGGCAAAATGGACGATCCTTTGGTGTCCAAACGTCTCGATGAGGCTATCACGATGGTTGGGACTTGTCAGGACTTGTGTCCGCGGTTCGAACGATACCGGCGGGAACGGGAAAACAACCTTGACAAGTGGGAAGTGGTACGCTCGTTCTGTATTTAGAGAAACAGCGTGTAATGTGTAGTTCTCATACATCCTTTCAGATTCCTGGCACAAAGCGCGTCGACCATAAAAGAGCGGTCAAGATCTACGAGCGGGCTGCGGGAGACAAGTCAATACCGTCTGACATCCGACCCCCCTTAGTCCTACGAGTGAGACACTCATGTTTGGTGTCTTTTTCTGACTGACGAGTCACGCAGAAAACGTTGGACTACCTCTTTCATGATCTACTTATGAGAGGTAACTTCACCCAGACCCACGACTTCATTCGGGATCGCTCTCGGGCCGTTAGGAACGATTTCACCTTGCAACATAATAAAGGCCCTCTTGCAATCGAGTGTCATGACCGCTGTGCTCGCTATCATATACTGGCGTTGCATTTTGAGCGAGACAACCCCAGGTTCTCCATTGCGCTCGAAGAACAACAGCTTATGAACAGTTGAGTTATAACTGTCGCTCAGTGGACGGTGTCTAACTTTGTGTTGACAGCCTTGCAGAGCTTGAAAGAATTTTACGAAGATCAGCGAGGAAAATACCAAGCTCCGACTGAGCTCGAGATGCGGGTCTACCACCGTCTCATTCACATCCGGGATCAGCGGGAGCGACACGAGGAGATCCCCGAAGAAGTTACATCCCATCCTGTCTTTCAGCTCACGACGAAGTTCCGGCTCCATGTCCAAGCCAAGAGTGCCCCCATATCGAAGACATCACCACTCATCGTAGACGCTGAGGGCATGCAGATCTTCGGCCAGCTTGCGGCAGTGCTTAGAGAACAGAACAACGTCGTCATGATCTACCTCGTGGCATGTATCCTGGAAAGGCTGTTTGGTAAGGACACCATCGAGGACATTGAGACAGTACGCGGGGACCTGTCTATCCCTGACATCATTGATGGGCGGTCTGGGCCGGCTCCCCAGGAAGGAGCTGTGTCTGTTGAGGAACTCACCCCGGTATCAGACGAGGCAGACGAAGAAGTTGGCAACGCCGCCGAGGTTCTTCGGCCAAGCAATGTAGAGTCTAACACGGCCGATTCTGCTGTCATCAGCATTAGACGATCGGCGAATCCATTCATGGCGCCCTCGGCGTTCAGTCCTAACACTGCTCCATCTACATCTATCCCTTCTTCGCAGCCCGTGGCGTCCGCGTTCGGAAGTTTACAGTCCTCCCCGAATGTCTTCGGGACAGCTGCTACAGTGTTCGGGACTCCTTCGACCTCTAGATCGGTGTTCGGCAATGGCGCTCAAACCACTGGTCCGGTCTTTGGCAATATGACACCACCTTCAGGACCAGTATTTGGTAACACCGCCCAGAAATCGGTATTTGGTGTTCCATCGATTGCTCCCGCTGCCCTACCTTCTGTTCAGCCAAGTAGCCTGTTTGGGGGGGCGTCTCCTCAGCCACCTCCTCAATCGACACCGACATTTGGTAGTCCACCCGTGTTCCCATCGAGCGGGATATTCGGCACTACTCCGAAGCCTCCCGGTACACAACTTACCACGCCTTTCATTTCCTCTTCCACCTCTCAACCCTCATTGAACCCCACCGCAGCAACTTTTGCACCTACACGACCTGCTTCATTTTTCACCGTTCCGGCTGCTGCTGCACCTTCGTCATCTACTCCGGTCCCCAAACAAGATGCAACGTCACGTACAGAACCTGCGAAGGTGTTTCAACCTCCGCAGCCCGTCAAGTCCATCCCTAATTTCTTCGGCTTCCCTCCCGCCTCTACGCCACCTCCCTCAATTCCCCTTCCTTCGCATTCCGATACACCCGCCGTAGGTCAAGCAGCGGCGACTGGAGCTGCAACCCCACATATAGTCGAAAGGCGACAAACGTTATGGGATATGCCTAGCTCAACCTCACAATCTCCCCGTTTGAAGACCGTGACTCCCATTTCAGTTCCTGTCACCGTACCATTAGTAGGCCCTTCCACTCCAATTTCGCCATCGGTGCCTCCCCCGCTCGACAAGGTAGCGCCTATATCCCTTCCTTCCACACCAACTGTGAGATGGTTCGATCCCAGCTCACAGTCGAACCCCGCGGAACCGAGTCCGACCAAAAAGAAACCCACCCTTAATTTTCCCTCCCTCCAGATGCCGGCATCAATGTCCACCACGGGTATCCTCAGTCCACTACATCTTTCTCCCGACGCGAAGACCCCCCCTGTCCCAAATGGGAGTTACTCCCCTCAACATCACGTTGCTCCCTCCGGGTCTCTGTTTGTTGCACCCAGTATAGAGATAGAGAAGGCAGCTGAACAAGTGAATGGGCACTCTCCTTCGAAGGGAAAGGCGAAAGAGACCGCTGCCGACCTCGACTCGAAGGTAGTGGCTTTCCTGCTGAGGAGTTCTTTGATCAAGAAGCCCTTCAATAAATGGTTGGAGCGGACCATTGATCGAGCAGCCTGGGCTGAAGCTTGCCAGCGCGGCGATGCATACAAGCGCAAGCTGCAGCAGAAACGGTTGTCAAGCAGCGCCAGTTCCGACAAGCGTGGTGGCGAGTCTTCGAAGAGACGGCGGGCTTCTGGACAGGGTTCGCCGGAGACGTCACAGGCCAAACGCGTGAAGCGGCGCACGTCCGCACCGTATGTGCGGCCATTGACGGACGAGGACCTGGCACGACGTCTGAAAGAGGTGCAGCATTTGTCCTTCGCGCGTCCTGGCGTGTCTTACCGGGGCGGAATTCTCATCTCGTTCTCTATCTCACTCTTTCCAGAACCACGAGGAACACGAGCGGCGCTGGGAGAAGGGCTCGTTCTTGCGCACCGTCCGCAAGCGCGTGCGTGCGGTAGGCCGCGACAAGCGGTGTCCGCCCGAGTGGCGCCTGTGGCTTTCGTTGAACCCGGAAAACGATGGGACGGCCATCTGGCTGGAGCACAAGTTCGACGTTCCTGCGTCGGGTGGATGGGAGAACGAGGCATTGTTCTCGATTCCGGGGTCACCTGGAGAAGACAGGGCTGACTCGCACGGGTCTCCGGGAATGATCATCTTTGAGCGCACTCCCTTGGAGGGTTTGGACGATGAGATTGACAGGTCCGGCTATTCATTGTTTCTGTTGGTAGCCGTTCTGACGACTCTCATAGAAAGTATCGCATTCTCGATGACTGCTCGCGCCTTCGGGATGTGATGAGAAGTCTACCTGACGCAAGCTATATGCGCTTCATCCCGTCTTTATTGGTCATCTCGTGGTCTGAAGAAGACACGAGCAAGGGTGACAGTACACGCGATTTCCTAGACATGGTGGGGCAGTTTCATCCAGTCGTCGTGCCATTGCTCATCTTTGCGTGGAATAGACTTCGAAGTTGGCGAAGGATCATATCATCGCCAACGTAGCGACTTTCGCGATACCTGCCAATGCGAAAGATCTCGATACCAAGTTCGAACAGTTCCTCAGCACCATATCGTTGAACCTGCAGGATCGACTGTTAATGTCTATAACGTGGCGAAGTACGATCAGTTTAGCCTTCTGCTTCTTTTGTTCGTAATAACCCGTCCTCCAGAACTGGCTAATCTGTTCGTATCTTGCTTCAAGCCTTCGGCGTCAGATTGGCTGTACAGTTGCTGGGCCCAGGAGACCTGTAAGTGTGCCGCAATTTCCTCGCTCGATTGATTAATGAACTTCCTACAGTGGACTGGGTCAGGTACGGGCATGTGCTGCGTGCAGTTCATGCCGCACTCAATGAGCTCCTTCGGGAGCTTCTGAGTCTTGTTGGGGCTGGGAATTCAGCAGCTGAAGTCGAGCTACCCGTGGATCTACAGACACCAACCCACCTCGAAAAGGGTAATTATATCTTCATCGTTTTACCGTTCGTGTGTTCATGGGCATGACAGACTATGCAACGGGACTTTTCGTGGAGTCTCTTGCACTGCTCCCCGTCGCGTCGGCCGAACACTTCCTCCGCGGTCGATTGTCTTCCAGCTACGCACTCGCCAAAGCTGACGTGGAGAACGCCACGAACCGATTTGAACAGACTCTGCTGAGGTACCGCGACCAGTTGCTCGCATTGCCAGCTGCGGAGGCACCTGTTGATGTCCGGCAATCGCCGAAACGGCGGGCGACGGACGACGGTATGA